ACGCTCGCATAGACCTCCATCCTTCTGTTCCCGGAATGTCCACACCCCCTCCCCCCCCCGCACAGCGGACCTAGTACTCTGCTCAGATCCATTCTTGTTATTCACGGATGACCAAAGCCATCTCCATAGTCTAACATGTATAATTTCGGTTAGTCGTCACAGCAGCACACCGACAAAAGAACAACTCATTCGATATTCATGACAGTGGATAATCGTCAGAGAACTTTCACTCTCATCCACGGCATTCGCCATGTAAGAAGGTGTCCTAAGATTTGCGTTTGTATCTCATCACTCGATCCACCGGCGCCGGGGGCTACCACTCAACCACTCCCAACCGTACTACACCCACCACGTTGGCAATCATGTGCCGTCACATTCAGAGCTCCCACCCCTCCCTCGACTCAGCTCAACTTCACAAAAGCTCCCCCGCCACACCACATACTACCACCCCTCTACCCCAAGAGCTCAGTCTCTGACCAGTTTATCACTCACATATCTCAGTAGCAGAACTGGCTTATACTGGTAATAAAAAATCCTCATAGCTCGCACCCGCACCACACCATCTCCGCACAACGCATTCCCACGTCTACTTGCCTCGCATCCTCCGACAACACCGCACGCACACAAACATGGAAAACCCTAAAACGCCCGCTCATCGCACACTCCCATGACCTGCAAGGATCGGTCCCAACTAAGCTGGACGCGAAGGGACCCTCCAACGCCCTCGCACACAAGAAACTGAAAGCACAAACACACACTCCGCCGCCGCATGATCTCCGAGATGGATCCACACAAGACAACCCGCCCAGTCCTGCCGTCAGCTCTCACCCGCCGGGCGCACTCTGAGCATTAGGTCGGAAAGGACACCATATATAGGGTTCGATTCACATCCTCAGGTATCCTTTCCCCTGCAAATAATATGGGCCACTGATGTGCTCAACGTCCCCAACGGATGGAACACTCAACGCCCATGCTTACCAAGTAGCTTTCGTAATCTGCACCGCATTACCCCTTAACGGTGGTGTGTCGAACCTGACGTACGATGTTGTTCCGGCTGTTCGGAGGACTTTGTCGAAGCGGCACAACAACTCCGTGCGCATCCTGCATGCGCCTCGCAGGTCCTCATTCGTCCTTCTGACATTCACAAGTCCCCCTTGGATAAAGGGACACTCGAACAACTTGGAATTCTGTGTTTCTTATCGTTCGAGCTTGAGCTTAAGTTGGGGTTGAAGTTTTGATGTTCTTCGCAGTGATTAGAAGGCTGAGTGGTGGTGAGAATGTGTTTAAATGTTTTCTTTTATGATGGGGTGATGTTTCTCCCTTGAATTGTGCAACTACTATTTGAAATATTTTTGGTCCTGCTGTCTCTTTTTAAGGGTTGAATTGAGATTGTTCTTTTGTTCCTCTTTGCTGTTGCATAAACCCATTGTTATAGAATAGTTGATGTCTGCTTGTTTGGTTTTACAAATGTTCGTGGGATGTTTTTTGAATAATTTTTTATTATTTTTTTGTTTATATTTCTAAGGTTTCGTTTGTGTCGATGTCTATATTTACTATCTGATATAAATTTACTTAGGTTTCAAATTCTGTAGGGGTTTATACAATAAACTTTTGTCAAGAGGATTTAAGAATAAGTCTTTTTGTTACTTTGATGAAGAAGTTTGTAATTTTAGGATTGGTTCTATAGACAGAATTATTAAGTATTGTTTGTTTTTTAGATTAGGTTAGTTTGGTGATAGACTTTGGTTTGAATTATATCGGTAATTTAATTATATTTGTAAATTTAAGTCAAATTTCGTCCAACATGGAATGAGTCATTAGTATCTATCAAATTGTATAAATTTTAGTATTTAAACTCGAGTGTTGTAGATTGTTTTTGGTGGATATATTGTTTCTGATTTAATTGGTTTTTTTACTGCATCTTTGAAAGAAAAGTGTTTTCTACATAATATATCTGCCATTATATTGTTTGTTATCTGTATCAAAAGAAACATATTTAAATATAATATATTTGTATCAAATTAATTGTCTTTACATCTTTATATCGAATTTAAGATGTTTTTAAACATCCAACAGTTGAATCGTTATCAGGTTACTTAGAAACTTCTTAATGATGTTTTGTATGAAAGTATTAAATGTCATTCTGCCAATTGAGGATGAATCAGAAAGATTTATTTATCCATTTATGTCAATTTATAAATGCTTACAGGTTTAGAATGTGATCTACATTCTACCATCAAATTAGTTGATGTTTTTAAAATTATGAACATGTTCACATGTTTTGCCCAATTGGAGTTAGAAGAATTTGTTTTTATACACAATTATTTTTCTAGGAGAATGTCAAAGTTGATAAAATTCACATCTCTTTAATTTGAAAACAATCACGTATGAAAAAAATTAAGATGAACTAGCAACGTGTGAGGGTCCGCAGCAACAAATAATGCACACTTTCATTTCTTTTATCAGAATGTCAGTGTAGGAAAGCATGTTGAAATTCTTAGAACAAGATCTGTCAACCCGTCTCATATGAAGTACAATAATATCTATGCAACCCCAGAACATACAAGCATATACCATATGAAAAAAGCATACAAGGTTAATGAATACGCATTCATTAGCATGCACGCACACTTGCACAAGATAGCAACTCAGGAACCTACAATGTACTCATAACGTCAGAATAATTCCAACAACGACGAAGATCATATTTGCAGAGCGCTTCTGTCAGCTTTCATCCATATTTGTAATGATGTACAATGTGGTGAGCAGCTGTTGCAGTTTGCATTCTTCAATATAGAGGAATTTGTCGAAATCCTCAGCTTTCTATTAATTATGTTCTCTAAATACTACATCAACTACCTAAATCTATCCAAAGTTTGTTTTTTTGATTGATCGTTATGTGCTTCACCTGCGCACTTTCTTACTCACCCCAACATCAAACATCTTCAAAATTTTCCTATCGTTGCTGAACACTAGTACACTTCAATTTCGAAAAGCAGTAGAACACCAATAAGAAAGATGCTCATCTCTCCGTGAATTGCTAACAACTCCACCACACTGTTGACACAAGAAGCTACTGCCATCAGCCGAAGCATCATAAACCACCTGTTCCCTGCCACTTTCGGCCAGAATGGAACTTCTAACAACATCAAAACTGCTAAGCATTATTCGCTCTTGCAACGTCGTTTCTACTGCCATAGGCTCTGGTGCGTCTGAAGTCCTATTCGGAGGAAGTGTAGCAATGGCACATTGGGCGAATAATGTTGTGAGTTCGTCCGTAGCTTCGTTAATCCGAACGTTATTCTCGTATACTTCCCGAGCCCTTCGCAATGCTGTAGTAACTGCTTGTTCCCCGCCTACACTGCGCAGGGCCGCAACGACCTACGATTTGACATGAATGTACAAATGAGAACACACAATAACCGTATGTCTTTCAAAAGCGTTGGCTAAGACAAGACCGGCTGACAGTATTTAAAAGGTGAGCTTTGCACCGAGTCCACAAGAAGAATCCCAACCTTTGTTTTCAATTCAGCCCTGACAACACTGCCCTAACAATGAACATAACATAATCTCATAGTTTACTAATTAACGATTGAAACAACCATGCGATGGGCATCAAAAATTGCAGTCTTGAAACAGTGTGGAATCTAGATATCTATGCAATTTGAGATGCTCCAAGTTTCGTTTGAACCATTATCAAACTTCACAACTCCACTTACTGCTTGTAAGGCACCTCCCGGATTTCCTTCATTCAAATTACGCCGAGCTACGACAAGAAGCGTAGCGATGTCCTCTCTGGAAACTTCACGTCTAAATTCTCCTACTCCAGCCCCTAGAGAGTTCATTGCTTGAAAGTGCTTCGCTGACACACACATTTATATATATATATATATATATATATATATATTCTGCGTACAAAATATGGTTACAAAATGAAAAACCTTAACCTTTGACTTCTCACTATTAAAATAGCAAGCCTTACAGATATCTTTGAAAATCAGGATAGGATAAAGTAGGCGTGTCAACCTTCAGAAAGTGTCTGCGACAAGCACGAATATAATCAAATTCAACCTGCGTGTGGCGAAGACGTGCAATAGTAGTTCTCACGGATGAGGAATGCTGAATGCCGAGTTCCGGCGTCTCAATTGACCATGCCTAACTCGTAGCGTGTTCCGCAACTCCCCCGTTGTCCAACTCAATTCGCTCAACTGATACGCTCGCTAGGATTTGTATCAGAATTCAGGCATACGCAGTAGCCTCTCCTATTCCTGCTGCTCCTCTGCAGTCACACCGCAAACCCATGCTGACTTTCGAAACCCGAGGCACAACAAGGAACTGAGATTGTTCTTCAACCGAACAGTGTGAAAATCCACAATGCACTACCATCACCACTCTCGGCACCTTCGCCACGTCTCCACCCCAATCCCGTTAAAACCCTAACACTCACCTCTGATTTGCCGCACCTATCATACATCCACCACTGCACGACCCTTAACGTCCATTCTCGCTACTCCTTCTACATCACAGAAAAAAATATAAATATCACTCCCACGAACACCACCCCCTCATGCCCTCCACAAAACAATAGCTGTTCCGGACACGAAACCTCAACAAAAACACATCGATCAGTAGTGATGGCGACAAACACTTAATCCCGACTTGCGAAGCTGGATGGACAACAAATACAGTCCCCGCGCTATTGCCAGTGAGAGAAACGATTCACGAAGCCTGAATTGTGCAGTAGTATAAAGGACAAGAATGCTGCAGTGAGACGGGAAACGGGAGAGTGAGTATACGACAGCAATGGAGTCAGTCAACCATCGAGAAGCTTCGGTGTGAAAGTTGAGTACAGGATGATGAAATGCTCGATTTTGCCCACTCCGGCCCACGAGCGTCGTCGTCGTCCCTGTTGGAGCCGCATGAGATTGTTGGGCGATTTATACGATTTGTCAGTCTTTGCATATCCCATTCAGACTCACTCACTCACTCATTCACTCACGCACTCACACACTCGTTTTGTTGGCTTCCATCTCCAGTTACATTTATTCCATTCCTTAGTAGATTGCATAAAAAACGACCGTATTGTGTAGCTTTCGACTACCTCTCGTAATACTCAAAACTGTCGGGTTCATTTATGAAAGCATTTGTGTGAAGAAAGTAATGAACATCTTTGAGTTGCTTGTAAACCTGTAAATACAGTGTACATAGTGTATGTTCTGCAAATCGACAACGATGTGCTTGACTATGAGAAATGCTAGGTATTCTGTTGCTGTATTCCTCCTTTGACCTTGTTGGTACTATACATATCTGAATTCAATCCACTAGTTTCAATGCATTGAGATTGAGTTGGGATTACATTTTTTTAAATTGAAATTAATATGGATTCGAATATTATTTGCAAAAAAAAAATGGGTATTTGAACGCAATAATTACAATGCTGTATTTTGAGAATAGGAATTCATCACGTGTTCTAGGAATCATGGTGAAATAATCCTTCAGCGCTTTAGTTGGAAGGTGCCAAGAATGCTTTCAAGTAACTATGCGCAACTTCAAACTTTGATATTATTTTAATTTTTCTTATTTTCTGAATTTTATAATAGGGTCATTAACCCACAAGATGAAAAATTTGAATATTGTCTTCACATGACCCTCTAATAATAAGCGTATAAATTAAAAGTTTATTCGATCTAACTTATGTTTTCTCAACACGTTATTACCTTTCCTTTGGCTATTTCTCGTTAGAAAAGAATACCCCCACTCTAAAGTAACTATTTAGAATAACTATTGTTTGACCCAAAAGCGTGTACTAATACCCCAAGTTCACTTAAAATTTTCAAAAGGAGACAATACGCAACCGTTGTGTGTCGCGTCCTCGGTGGATGAAAAACACGTTGTCAACAAAACATCATCCAAATGTTGCATATCATATCACAGTCTTCTCCGTTTTTTTTCTGTTGTCATTGTCGTCATCCTACTTGCTAGCTAACCCTCGCTTTTGCCCACACACTCTTCCACACCATCTCTCTCGGTGTTGGTTTCGGAGGAGGAGCAGTTGCGGGGCGCCGGGGGGTTGGTGGGATTTGGTCTGGAAATTAGTGAGTGATACGGACAGTGGAGTAGGGCCGTTGTGGAGGGCGCGTGTTTGGAAGGGGGATGAGAGAACTTATTTTAGTTTCGTGATCATCTGGCCATGGTCTTGCGCCATGTGATGAGAGAGGATGTAAGCAGACGACTGGTGAGATTGGAAGATTGCGAGGGTGGAAGGTGCATCGGCTTCGCCATGGAGATTCTTTGGGGCGTGATGCGTGTGTGATGGAGTAGGAGGGAAAGGAGAAATTGAAGGAGTTGAGGCAGTGGTACATGTGTGTCATAGGTGCGGCAAATGGGAGGTGAGTTCTAGGGTTTTTGTGGGTCTGTGGCAGTGTACTGGTGGGAGTCGTGATGGTGTTTGATTGTGGAGAATGCAGCAATGCGATTCAGCAGTAGGTTTAGATGTTGTGCGCAGTGGTTGTTGATGGACTGGATGGGCTTTGCCAATGAGAGAAACGATTCACGAAGCCTGAATTGTGCAGTAGTACAAAGGACAAGAATGCTGCAGTGAGACGGGAAACGGGAAAAGGCTTCTTCACTCTTGTCAACTCCTTTCTTGCTCCTAGTCCAAGTTCAAGAGTCTTTAGTTTCTTGTCTTGTGGCAATAGCCATTCCTGTTTCCATTTAATATACATACTTGTTTATATTTTGATTTATTATAACGAGATAGCCTTTTTGTGTATATTTTCCCTCATCGAGTCTTTGTCCTTGATAGATTGACAAGAGTACACTTACAATATCAGAGCTTTGTTTTTCTTGAATAAGAGTGGATTACCCCTTTCTCTTGACAAGACATAAGCGTATTAGGAGTTTACGGATTACCCACTTCTAAACTGATATTGTTCTTAGTATCTTCTTTGTTATCAAGTCTTTCTTTTCTTTTGTCTTGAGCAATATCAAACAAATTTTTCTTCTTAGTGTCATTATGGCAGAGCTTGTTGAAATGAAGAGTGCAATGGCACAAATGCAAGAGCAAATGAGGGAGTTAATGCTTGCGATGCATCAACTCAATTCACCAATACAGGAAAGAACAAGAATAGCAGAAAGTGGGGATATAGAGATGATTAGAGCTGCTTCAACATCTACAACAAATCACGTTCCTTCCCCAATTGTACAACACCCTGTAAGCACTAGAGATCCAAGAATTGCCTTATCCGAGAAATTTGATGGTACAAGATCAAAGTTTCGAGGGTTCATCAATCAAGTACAATTGGCAATTGAACTTCAACCGCAAAGCTATCCAACTCCAGGATCACAAGTCAGGTTTATTGGCACTCTACTTTCTGGTTCTGCATTATCGTGGTTTTCATCTTTTCTTGAACAACGAAATCCAATATTGGACAATTTGGAAGCTTTTTTGGCAGAGTTTCGATCTATGTATGGTGAACACGATGCAACTCGTGTTGCAACAAATAAGATCCAAATTCTGTGACAAAGAAATCACTCAATAATAGTGTATGCTTCACAATTTCGACAACTTGCAATTGACATCAAGTGGGATGATGCTGCACTCATCAGTCAATTTCTTTATGGATTGCAATACGAAGTAAAGAAATTCATGCTCAACTTACCTGATCCTCAAACTTTGAGTCAAGCAATCGATTTTGCGATAAAATGTGATAATCGACTTTTCGAATTTCGATCCGAGAATCATTCACGGGAACCTCAACGTTATTACTCAATGGCAACATCAACATCTTTGCCAAACGTACATTCGGAAGTAGAAGACATGCAAATTGACGCGGTACGTTTTAAACCCCTAACTGAGCAAGAAAAGATCATCGTCGTCAAGAAGGATTATGTTTATATTGCGGAGAATCTAAGCACACTGCTCAACATTGTCCAAAGAAACGACGCAACTATAAAATGAAGGGTACGGCGGTCAAAGAAGACAACATGTCGGAAAACAGATTTGTCCAGCTACAATAGGGACCGTGCAGCTGGAACCTTGTACAATTCCTAATGAAGGTCCTATCCTCTCCTCAGAACCCTCTTCTTGTTATATAATAGACTTATATTTAGGACCTAAGAATTACAAAGCCTCTGCTTTATTAGATTCGGGAGCCTCAACATGTTTTTTAGATGAACAATTTGTTAAAAGTCATAAAATACCTTTTATATAGAAACCTAAACCAGTACATGTAGAAGTCATAGATGGTCGTCCCTTGTCTTCTGGAGATGTCACTCATGAAACTCATCCTATAAAAGTAACAATAGACGGTCATGATAGCTACATAGCTTTTAACATAATTAAATCCACGTCCAATCCAGTTATTTTAGGTTTATCCTGGCTAGAAAAATATAACACTCGAATAGATTGGAATTCGCGTAAACTTGACTTTTTCCAGAGCGTTATTAATAGTTCTACCAACCAAGTAAAAAATTATAGGTCTAATATAGTAAAACCCGTACTGATAGGTACAAAAGCATTTATACACGCAGCAAAAGAAGGATCAACTTTTGCTATTTATGCTGCACCTATTTTTGAAAACGTAAAGACTTCAAGTGGCATTCCAAGTCAATATCAGGAGTATCAAGACATTTTTGAGAAAAAGAATGCAGATATTCTTCTTGAGCATCGCCCATATGATTGTTCAATCGACCTCAAGGAAGGAACTCAATGACCATTTGGACCAATTTACAGTTTATCCCAAGATGAGTTGGCTGAACTCAAGACATATATTGACGAGAATTTAGCAAAGAATTTCATACGCCATTCAAAATCTCCAGCAGGAGCTCCAATTCTATTCGTAAAGAAAAAAGATGGATCTTTACGAATGTGTGTTGATTATCGAGGACTCAACAAGATCACAATCAAGAACAGGTATCCATTACCTTTGATATCAGGACTCCTTGACCAGTTGAATCAAGCTAAGATCTATACAAAAATAGATCTAAGAGGAGCATATAATCTAGTACGGATCAAAGAAGGACATGAATGGAAGACTGCTTTTTGAACCAGGTATGGACATTTCGAATATAATGTCATGCCCTTTGGACTCACGAATGCACTAGCTGCTTTTCAACATCTCATGAATGATGTATTTCGTGAATTCTTAGATAATTTTGTCGTCTGCTATCTAGACGATATCCTGATCTATTCTAAGAATGTCGAAGAACATGAAATATATGTTCGTCAAGTATTACAAAAATTTAGAGATGCAGGATTGTACGCCAAGATGGAAAAGTGTGTATTTCACACTACTCAAGTTGACTTTTTAGGATACATCATTTCAAATGATGGTCTCATGATGGATTCTAAGAAAGTCCAAACAATCATGGATTGGAAGATTCCAAGGACAGTAAGAGATGTCCAATGTTTCTTGGGATTTGTCAATTACTATTAGATCTTTATCAAAGATTTCTCACGAGTTGTAGCTCCACTTACACGCTTGACTAGTAAAGATAAATTCCAATGGAATCAAGAAGCGAAAGCAGCATTTGAAGCCTTGAAGACATCGTTTGTCTCTGCACCAGTCTTATATCGTATTGACTTTTCCAAGGCATTTTTTATGGAAACAGATGCATCAGATTTTGCCTTGGGTGCAGTTTTATCACAAATGGGATCAGATCACAAACTTCATCCGATAGCTTTTCATTCAAGAAAATTCTCAACAGCCGAGATCAATTATGAGATCCACGATAAAGAACTTCTTGCGATCGTGGATTCCTTTCAAGAATGGCATCATTATCTAGAAGG